CCCCAAAACCCCAAAACCCCAAAACCCCAAAACCCCTGAGGTTTTTTGGATAATTGAATAATTGTTTTTCAAGCTTAGTAACAGTGGAAATGAATAGGTAAGAGGTTCTTTTAGAGAGTAGAAAGAAATATTGTATTGATTTCGATAGTTTTTAAGAAGTAAGAGTATTTCAATATTATAATTAAAGAAACAAAGCACTAAATTATGTTCAAAAGTAGATAGCCTCACTCTAACAACATTATGCGTAATCTCTTTGATCATAATTCATACAATTAAAAATTCTCTTGTCTATCAATCACTACTCTAGTATCATAAATATTACAAGTTTGCCTGAAAGTAAGAACTGAAATCCTTTGAAAGCAGGTTCAAATAGCATCGGTAAAGTGTAACCTAAATAATTCTATAATCCTATAGATCATATATCTATTCGGAGAAGGAAGAAATCAACCAATCAACGATTCTATAACTTCAAGACCTTACAAGGTCAGCCCAGGATCACTGCTAAGCTTGAAAAGGCTCTGAAGATGATAAAATAAGCAAGAAGGGCTTATTCCTGGCTTGAAAAAGACTTGCCCAATCGGCAAAAATAGGCTTGCTCTTGAAATAATTAAAAGAAACTTTAAACTAAAATAAAATGCACAATTACATGCTAGATTACACTATTAGCCATGAAAAGGGTAAAAAGAGGCCGAGCCAAACAAATTTAAGGAAAAATCATCAGATTGGAAAGAAAATTGCAGTCTCAAATCTCCAATCAAGGGAGAATTCCCAGCCAAAATCCCTCACTATTAATGATAGATTAATAAACTCAAGGCAAAGATTCAGAGAAGCGAGACCTCTTAAGCAAGGCGGTAGCATTGATTTCTAGTAAGAATCAAACTGTTTGATTGATAACCATCTTTGTAGCAATAAAGTTGAACAAAAGAGCGGAGAAGCATCTCTTGATGGGGAGAAGTTTATAGTTGACTCTCACATGTCAATGTATAACCAAAAATTCCCAAAGGTTTCAAATGAATCATGAAAAAGGTCTCACATCAAAACTATAAAAAGAGGGATTCTAAATAAATAAGATTAAGAATACTCTAAGAGAGACTATCTACGGCTGTAACACTTTATTAAAGGACAAAAGCTATCAGAAAATCAAGCCACCAAAGAGGAGGATTCATACTTCATGGGCTACTACTGGTAAGATCCTTTTGATGAAAATTATAGAGAGAAAAGAAGACCCCTTCTTAAATAATCCTAATCTTGACAACTATGACACTTTATTGCTGAGAACTTCAGAATCACTGGATAAATCTATCAAGAAAGCAGACCATATGATTTCATTTGAGAAGAAGACTAGACCAGGTGTGAGAGAGAAATCAGAAATTCTCAAATCCTATATTGCTCAGAGGAGCCAGAGATATCACTTATCTGCGTACGATTCTAGGTATTAAAGAGATTTCAAGTAATAGAACTAACCATTTTGCCTGTTCATATTTATGACCTCATGCTACTGAATGTCTTCAATGCTAGGCTTAGAAGTTATGACTCAGCAGGTTGGGCTTTCTATAGAAATATTTTCAATAAAATTGAAATGCCAAGGGGTTTTGGGGTTTTGGGGTTTTGGGGTTTTGGGG